CCTTCTAGTATCAACATTCTCAAAAATAAAAACATAATTTTTGAAATTAATAACATAAGAAATAGACTTAACAGAAGAATTGACTCAGCTGAAGAGCTGGAAGATAAGGCTGAGGAATTTGTGCAGCTAATTCATTCAACATCTACCTGTTGAGCGCTCACTGTACACCAGACTCTGTGTTTTGAGGGAACACAGCAGTGACCACAAAGAGCAAAATTCACTCTTCATGGAACATCATTCAGAAAACTCTCACAATGAAGCAGGACAGGATAACAATGTGGAAGGGTGAAAGCAAAGTTTGAAAGCCTGGTGAGGTCTAGAAGTGCAGAGATATCTGTCTGGGAAAGGGCATTCTGGAAGGGAGAATGGAAAGAATCAAGTAAAGACAGTACTTTGCAAGATAGTGTAGGATTCTAAAAACTGAAACCAGACTAAAAATCCTCATGAAAGACAGGGAACAGGGGTCAAGGATTGAACTACACTCCCTGGGTGTCAATGTGCCAATAATGAAGTTCCTAGGAATCAATTGTAGACTTTGTCCTACTTACTATTCAGATGTTTTTTGTTTTGTTTTTGCCAGGGCTGGGTTTGAACCCACCACCTCTGGCATATGGGGCTGGTGCCCTACCCCTTTGAGCCACAGGTGCCACCCCTTACTATTCAGATGTTAATAGTAAGAATCCGTGCCTAATGCATTGTACAGACCTTGTACTTGGCTTGTGTGACTCGACTCAAGGCCAAATGAAAGGGCATGGAGACACTGAGTGGCTATAGATGAAGGAGCAAAGAAGAGTCACTTGGAAGGGATGGATTGGGTCTCGTGAAATGGGAGGCCCCTGAAAACCTTTCTGGTCACCAATGCGCTTGGATGATGAACCTCGTAAAGTCAACTGAACCCACTGGGAAGAATCTACGAGCCATGAGCAACTTGCTGCTGAGGCCCAATGCACCAACTAATAATGGCTGCCACTGGACAAGACCTCGGGCAAGACCAGAGTAGTTCCCTCTTGAAGTAAACCATGAACTCATGAAAGCTCTTGAACTCTTGGTGAGTGCAGCCAAGAAAGGCCTACTTTTGTATAGGAGGACAAATTTGAGAAGCAATGGTTTGAAAATGGGAAGATGAAAGCTGAGAGAAGAGTTGAGTCTATAAAACTAATAGGGGCACCCTGAGTGTTTGCCTGAAACTTGACAGCGATAGCCTAGAGCCAACAGAGCAGAAAAATATACACAGCACATACACTCAGGGAAATACTACCCTCAGTCTGACAGTGTAAAAGGATATCTGAGCCTTCTTTTTTTTTTTTTTTTTTGAGACAGAGCCTCAAGCTGTCCCCCCTGGGTAGAGTGCTGTGGCATCACAGCTCACAGCAACCTCTAATTCCTGGGCTCAAGTGAGTCTCCTGCCTCAGCCTCCCGAGTAGCTGGGACCACAGGTGACCGCCACAGTGCCCGGCTGTTTTTTGGTTGCAGCTGTCATTGTTATTTGTCGGGCCTGGGCTGGATTCAAACCCACCACCTTAGGTGTATGTGGCTGGCGCCTTAGTCACTTGAGCGACAGGCACCAAGCCAGATACCCAAGCCTTCTGCTGAAGGCCAGATGGAGCTCGGGCTGGGGGTGGGGCACATGCTGAGCCTTTCCCCAGTCATCTTTCTGAAGGCTCATTAACCACCTCCCACAGATGTTCCGTGGGCTCCTCACTGGAGACATAATTCCAGGTGGGAGCCATCACTGGCTTCTTCCAGGATAAACAGTATTTTGAGTTTGATCTGCCAATGGCATTACTTACCTGCCTGTTCATAAAGACGTAGATAATGGGGTTGTAGATAGTGGCACTTTTGGCAAAGTAGGCTGGCAGAGCAGCCACCAGAGGGTGGAAGGCATAGCCAGGGTGGGAAGCAGCAAAGCATGCAAAAAAGGCATAGGGTCCCCAGCAGACACAGTACGCAAGGACCATCACCACCACCATGCGTGTCACCTCCTTCTCAGCCTTCTGGGTAGACTCAGATTCTTTCTGCTGCTTTGCCACCTGAGAAATATAGAGACAGTGAGTAGGGCACTGAGTCAGGGAGGCAGCGATAGGCTGGTAACCCAGGAATAGGGAGTTGTGAGGAGAAGGAGACTCCTCCCCCAGCTACACCAACCCTGGCGGCCAACAGCCAGCTTCCACCCTGAGTCACAGTACGACCTGTCTCCAGCACACCCATGCTCTTCCAGGGCATTTCTTTTGGGCTTTGAGGCAGCAAGCAGCTGGACCCAAAGTAAGATGACCACCAGAGCCTTCCATGCTCTGTCTTTAGCCCAGTAGGAGTTTGGGTGCCTCTCTTGTGCTCAGCTTTGGAGGCCCAAATTGATCACTGGGTGAAGAATGAAGCACTAACAAGATGGAGTGGGGAGCAGTTGGTGTTTCTTTAGCTAAACCAGTGGCTGGTTGCCTGCCCAATAGCAATGCTAGAGCAATAAAGACTTCTGGGCTTGCTTTCTATTTTTCTTTTTGTTTGTCTTTTTAGAGAAAGGGTCTGGTTCTGTCACCTAGGCTAGAGTGCAGTGGCTCAATCATAACTCACTGTAGCCTTGAACTCCTGGGCTTAAGCCATCCTCTTGCCTCAGCCTCCTGAGTAGCTGGGACTACAGGCACGTGGCACCACACACAGCGATATATATATATATATATATATATAGAGAGAGAGAGAGAGAGAGAGATATATACTTTTTTGTTTTTTTGTAGAGTGCCGTGGCATCACAGCTCACAACCTCCAACTCCTGGGCTTAAGCGATTCTCTTGCCTCAGCCTCCCAAGTAGCTGGGACCACAGGTGCCTGCCACAACGCCTGGCTATTTTTTGGTTGTAGTTGTCATTGTTGTTTGGCAGGCCTGGGCTGGATTTGAACCCACCAGCTCTGGTGTATGTGGCTGGCACTTTAGCTGCTTGAGCTACAGGCACCAAGCCATAGTTTTATATTTTTTTGTAGAGATGGGATCTCTCTATGTTGCCCAGGCTGGTCTCAAACTCCTGGCCTCTGCCTCCTGCCTTGGCCTCCTAAAGTGCTGGGATTACTGGCATGAGCCACTGGCCCTGGCTCTTTTAGGCTTTCTGGACCAGGCTCTGCCAGTCTATGGACTAAAACCTACTCCTGGACTCATTGTGAGGCATAAATACTCCTCCCAAGGGAAGCTGAGAGCAGCTGTCTCTGGGAG